AATGATGGTAATGGTACAAAAGATGGAAAAAACTTTTGCAAAGATGTTGAAATTACTAGGATTATTGAACCTATTGTTCAAAGCATCGAAGATTTGAAATCTAAATTTAACGAATGTTATTTACGAAATGATGTTTGTTGCATGAAAAACATTAACACCAAGGATTGTGGTGATAACAACGTAAACTTTGATGAAAGATCTCAAGATCAACAACATTATTATGAAACTCTGATTATTTCTGGAAGATTATTGGATTTTATTATCAATTATAATATCAATAATAATGATGCATCATTTCAACTTCCCGATGAAGCAAAAGAACATCTTGAATTTGCACGCAATATTTTATTAGAAAAAGAATTGTTATACAATAATAAAAATAATACAAATAATCATTTACAAGAATCATCTGGAGCTAAAGATCCTAAAAAATTTAAAGGAAATCCATCAATTCATCGTTGTAACTCGTCAACAATTCCAAACTCCAAAAGTAAACAACAAAAACCTATCAACAACAACAAATCACGTAGTTCAACATTTCCATCAACTCGAGATTATTTTTGTTATAACAACAAAAGTGCACCTATTCATGCCAATGCCAATAATAGTAATAATAACAATGGATACAACAATAAAAGACGTCATAACGGACAATCAGCATCATATCATGCTACTAATTACAATGGTACAAATTTCAATAATCGGTTAAATAATAATAATAAATATTACAACAACAACGCTGGAGGAAGGAAAGTTATTATTCAAAATAATAATAAACCGAATCAATCTCGTTCTCTCCATCCGTTTCTTCGTGGTTCAACAAATGTTGTAAATCCCTTTTATCAACAACAACAGCAACAAATTAAAAATAATCGTAGCGTTAATATTGACGGTGGATTAATTGGATTTTTACCTTCGCGTTGTTTCATTTGTCGTGGATTTGGTCATTTCGCCAATGATTGTTATTACCAAAAAAATAAGGAAACTATTACACCTGACAATAATAATAATGCTACAACTTTTATTTCTCCCAACATCATCAATCAACAAAAATTAGCTCGTCGTAGACGTGTTGCAGCAACTCGTTACAATAGACGTAATAACGCTAACGTTAATAATAAACCCAAAGATGTTGTTAATAACAGTGATGTCAATAACACCAACGTCAATAATAATGATAATATTAATAATAAGGAGGCTAATAGCAACACGATTCAATTGCAAAAAATTGAAGAATAAAAAATGAAAATTTCTTTTTAATTTGTTGATAGTTGCATATATAGCAAATAAGAATACCGATAATAATAATGTATTGAGCAAGTTAAATTAATTGCTAAATATAATAATTTACGAAAGAATATTTTCTTCATTGAATAAAAAGTCCCATCAACACAAGCAATATGACACATTGTGTTGATGACGGCTGACACGTGATCACGGCAGTTTATTATTATTTTTAAGAGTAGATAATTAATTAATTGAAATTATAAAGCTTGAAAAATTTCTACAAACCCGTTAATTGAAAATGTAAATTTGAATCACAACCCCAAAAAACTAAATTTTTAAAAATTGATGACCCAAAAAAAAATTTTATAACAATATAAAGAGTTCAAATTTAAACCGTGTTGATATAATAAATATCCAAGCTCTTGTTACATAAAATGTTTTTATCATCGTACTGTGTGGCAAATCGCGTTATATATTATTTTATTATTATTTGAATTGTCTTTCTTTACTTCTTTTTTGTATACCATCAAAACTAATTTTTTCGCTGACAGTAATCATAATAATAATATTTTGTGTTATTTAACCGAAAAAATTCAGTGTGCGAGTAGAAACTCTTTACTAAATGTTAGAATGGATTATACACAAAAAGAAATTCCAACTACAGCTATTTCATTTAATTATGAGTGGACCGATGATATACAAAGAAAATATAAGTCCAAAAAAAACTAGTCGATATGAAATTCTTTCTATTTGGGTTTTTTTTAACCAATTTGCAGCTCTCAACCAGGTTCGAATCATCTGAACTTTTCACATAAATAAATTTAGTATGCATATGAATTATTGTCATAATCATCCGTATTAGTACATATTAATATTAACATATATCATCATATCCAATTTGTCTGGAATTCCTGTTCTAGAATAATAATTATTTATATTATTATTATTATATTGAAATAAAAATGTGATTGTCATGTATTGATTGATATGTATGTAATGTAATACATCGATCTCCTTA